GCGGCGCGGGTGGCGCGGACGGCGCGGGCGGGGCGACGGCGCGGGCGCGGCTGGCAGTCTCCGTCTCTCCCTCTCCCTCTCTCTCTTTGCTGCTCTCTCTCTCGTGCGGCGATCGGAACCTCGCGTTGTGCCGCCACCTCGCTCGCGCTGGGTCTCCGCCGCCGCAGCCCGCCCTTGCGAGGCAGCTCGTCGGACCGCGCGGCGAGGCGGCCGCCCGCAGGGTGGGGAGAAGCGGAGCCCGCCAGGGGCTCGCCGCCCGCGCCACCCGCCCCGCCCGCGCCGCCCGCGCCACCCGCGCCGCCAACGCCGCCAACGCCGCCAACGCCCCGCCGCTGCTCCTCCTCCCCGCCCTCCTTGTCGCTTTCGTCCTCCTCGCCACCGTCGCTCTCTTCGGCTTGCGGCCCGGCAGCCGCCTCGGCGGGCTCGGAGGCGGCGGCGGGCGGGCGCACTCCTCCCCCGAGGAGCCGCCTCAGGTCGGTACGTGCAAAGTCGACGGCGCGCAGGAAGGGGAGGGCGGGCAGGAGGGCGAGCGTGGGGAGAGGGCCGATGGCGGCGGCGGCGGCGGCGGAGAGGAGGGTGGTGACCGGCCCGGTGGCGACGAGGTAGCTGACCAGCGCCCAGACGAAGGAGAGGAGCGTGAGGAGGAGGAGGAGGAGGGAGCAGGTGTAGGTCGGGCCGTGCTCAAAGCTGACCACGCCCCAGAGGAACTCGCCGACCGCGAGGCCGATGTGGCGCAGCCCGAGCTCACGTAGGTAGGACACGACCGCCACGACGCCGCGGTAAAGAGCCGCGTCCAGCTCCGTCGAGCACGTCGCTTGCGCGGCGGCCTCGGCCGACGCCTCGCCCTCGCCTCCCGCCCCGCCCGCCTCGGACGGGTGTGCCTCGGCTGGTGCGGCAGGACCAGGCGCGCGCATCGAGGCGAGGAGCTCCTCGCGGGCGCGGGAGGCGCGCTTGAAGAGCAGCTCGCCGCGCTTCATGTCGTCCTCCGACCTCGCGCGCAGCTTATCCGGGTGCGTGCACATGGAGAGGGCGCGGTACGACTTGGAGATTGCGCCGCGACTCACGCTGCCGGAAATGCCGAGGACTCCGCACGGGTGCTCGAGGCCCATGCCGAGCTTGAGCAGCGCGTATCCCGACAGGAACAGCACCACCCACCACGGCAGCAGCAGAGACTCTGGAAGAATGGAGCGAAGCGTCCATGGGGGCCTCGGCGCCGGTGCTTCGGCGCTGGCCCTGGCCGCGGCAGCATGTTGCTCAGCGGCTGCGACTAGACGCTCGCGTACCGCTGGCGGCGGCTCGGGGTCGCGCTCCGGGCGGCGGCTGGGCTTGCCCATGATGTGCTCCCTCAGCTGGTGGCTGGGCAGATCGCCTACCAGATCGCGTACCCAAGCGCCAGCGCACCGCGCCCTGTCTGCTATAGCCGAGCTGCTCCGCAAGACCGAGGCCCCTCGGGTGATAAGAAAAAAGTACTCGCAGAATGTGGGTAAACGAAAGTAGCGTATACGCTACTATGAAAGAAGAAGCCGAAAAAACACGCCGGAGTCAGTCCGCCCGAGCCAGCCAGCTGCCGGCTCGCACGGCAGCCTCTTCCTCTCGACCAGCCTCAACTTCCGTAC